TCGTTGCCTTGTGCGTCGCACACAAACGATCTAACGGGAGGTTATATCGTCTCATGTCTGCTTTGGCAGGCGGTATATACCATGCTCTATGTACAGCAATGAGTGCCTGCCAGTGTCCTACTTCTCACCTGCTGGGACTGAAGCTACCTAAAACTCCCGACANGATGTCTGCTTTGGCAAGGCGGTAGTATACCATGCTCGTATGTACAGCGAATAGAGTAGCCTGCCAGTGTCCGTAACTTCTCACCGTGCTGGGACTGAAGCTACCTAAAACTCCCGACACCAGCGTCATACCGGGCGATGAGGATGAAGATGTGATCAGGAACTTGTCCATGAAGCTTGCAGTATCTGTTCAAAAGATTCCGCATCCAGAGGTCGACCGACTGTGGCACTCTGTCATGATCAAACCTTCCATTCGACCTCGACAGTGCCAAGTTCCCACTTGCCGGCAGCCAGCTGCTCTCGTGGAACCTGAACGGCCGACGAAACGGGCCAAAAAACCGTTGGGTTCTCCTTCTCGGAGAAGTCAACTAGGAGACCTAGCCTGCTGTCTCGCTACTCATCGCGAGAGGTGGAGGTGACATCTTCATCAAGGTCCTCCACTCAGACCCTGACCTTGGAGGTCACCAGCACAACGCCAGAAGTATTAAACGAAGACATCAAAATGGACCTTTGTGAAACCCTAGGGCGATTATCAACAATAAAAGCAAAGTATGTTGCGGGCACATTACCGGATCAGCAGCAATCAATGCCTCGGCAACAGAGAGATACGGTCTCTACGCACTAGGTCATCTACGTCCGTCGGACAACTCTGGCCAGTGCACCTTCATATTCCTCCATGATGTTTTTACCGAGCAGCTCACTGCTCATTTTCCTTTCTACGACGAGGACAGAGTAAGACTTGCTTACGTCTTAGCATCCGGCGTCCTTCAACTGACAGGAACGCCTTGGCTCACAGCCAATGTGACGACGAAGGACATATTTCTCATCCGATGCAATGGAACAACACATTTTGAGGAAGCATTCGTCATCAAACAGCTTCCCGAGACATCCGATGAAATGCAGCTTGATGTTCAATCGCCAAAAGCCTCCCCAACAACGTGCAGCACAGCCAGGGAATGCTCTTCCTGGCCATCATCCTCATCGAGATCATGCTCGGCACACCGTTCGATACCTTCCGCAAGTCCCATATCCAACAACACGGCCCCTCAACCCTGGGATCATTCTTTTCCGATTACGAAACGGCAATCACGCTGCTCGGCAGGCTCGAGACCAAAGGCGGCCCAAACTACAAGCGCGCCGTTGAACGATGCATCAGAAACAAGCCAGAACCCCCACCAATGCCAAATATGAACGGCGATGAGTTCAAGAGACTGGTGTATGGCCATGTAGTAGCACCATTAGAAGATGATCTCAAGCAATACACTTTGCCAAAACTATTGTAATGAAACATGACGGTTGGAGCTAGACTTCGCGAAGCACTCGGTTAATGAGACGGAATTAACATCTGACAAGCTTGCAACAGGACATCAAGTGGCAGAACAAAGCAAGCAGTGGAGTGGATTCCGTCAAGCAATAAGGCCGGATGAAGCACTCAGGACATCAATCAGATACAGAGCGCCGCAGATATATTTAATGGCCTTGACCAGAAAAGCCCCCAATAAGAATGCTTCTCAACTCGTACAAACAGAGACAACGGAAAGACTCCAACATCTACCCACTGCCTGAACCTCTAGCCAAACCTAGCCATGTGCGCCATCTGGCACGAAGGAGAAGTCACCTACGCCTGCGGACACGTCGGTAAGCACTTGTACCGCACACTGGTCTAGCTCAAAGGCTGCAAGTTGAGTCCCTGCCCCTCGTTATCAACCTACACACCTGGAATACCAGTTTCATTCCCTTGCTCGACTTGCCTGTCTGACGGCTCGTATTACCGGGAGGAAGGGTGGAGCGCGTGGGTCAAGAAACAAGTGAGATCCAAGGTATCATCCGCAATACCCGTATTTCGCCCTATTCGCCATACTCGAGCTGGAAAAGCCCAAAAAGGGGACCAAGGAGACGACTTTGGGGCAGGCGGGGAAACTGACTCTGACCACGGCCACACTGCCGGACGCGGCGGTGTTATCCCGGGACTCACATCGCAGCCTCCCAGCAACGATTCTCCGCAGGCTTCTCATATTCCTCCACGCGGCAAAGAGACTGCTGAGGCTGCAGCTACGCTCAGTCCCAGGGCTCAGCAACAGGATTCCAAGCAGAAGCAACGACAGGAGGGAGAGGAGTCCACCAAGTATAATGAAGCCAGCGATGACAAGGAAAAGCTCTGCATTTGCAATGAGATTGCCAAAGGTATGATGGTGGAATGCTCTGGGAGTCAGAAAGATGTCCAAGGAAGTGGTTCCATGCTAGTTGCGTGGGCGTGACGAGGGAGATCAAGGACATGGATGGTGAGTGCCCAGTTTTCCGTTTCATTCGCTCCATCCTATTGTTAAGGTACCTAGGAGCGAGGATGCAAATTGTTAACAAAACCCGCAGAATGGTACTGCGAAGGCTGCAGAACAAGGATAAATTCTTTGAAAAGACATGAGCAAGAGATGGGGTCTGCAGGCACTGGAGACGTCCATGGCACTCCACGTCGTGTCTCTGAGCCTTCAAGCGTCATGCCTTCCGCCTCAGAGCGCGTCTGCAATCACTGGCATCTCCGCAACTATCTCTGTGATGACACCAAGCCGTGTGGCTATTGCCGCAACTCCCAGTTGACTTGCTCCTACAGTGGCATCTCCCAGAAGCAAGAGCGCAAAGGTCGCCACCAAACTATCAAAGCACAGCCACAAATGAGTCCGCCGCCACGGAACATCATGACGATGGTCTTCCCTTCGGGTTGATTGAAACACAAAGCACCCTCGTCCCTGGTTACAAGGAACACGCCGAGAACGAGTCCGTAAACCCCGCCGACTTGCACACCGGACCGCAAAAGTCGCCGTAATCTCCGGGATTGGAGCCAGATCCCTTCTGAAGTTCTGAACATATCACACACCCTCTGCATGTCGTTCAACCTTTGAGACACGAAGCCGACAAGTTTGAGTTGCATGCTGCAGCTGTATTTGAAGAAACACCACAGGAGAGGATGACGGCTGAAAGTTACCTGGCCTGGACTGGTGATGAATTACGGGCTCTGATGGGGGACCAACAGGATAAGTTACTAGAAACTCTGTTTCCAGATGACCGGTAGGAGCTTGATACCTGAATCTTCGCGCGTCAAATGAGGCATAACCGAAGCCTTGAACAGAGTAAGACTTCACCATGTCCCTTCTTCCAACGCCTTTTGAATGTATCCACGATCCACAACAGTATATGCTGCACGAATTAGGATGTTAAGAACAGTGTTGCTCAAGGGCCCCATTGATGACGACAAGGGGTGATGACCTAACGAAAGTGAGTGTGATTAAAAGTCTCCGAACTCATACAATCAGGAAAGTAATTGTCCTGCAAGAGCTGCAGCTAGAAGCGGGCTTCGATAGGCAAGAGAATCTTTTGACTGCGTTGGACAAGGTGTCTTCCAACAAGAGCCTCGCCGGTCCAAGCAGACCGTCGACTTTCACCGGCGATACGCCCGCGACGCCGAAGGCATGGGTTCGGGTCCGGACATGGGGCGTCTTCTTCCGGCTGAACTATCGGAGCTCAGCGGACGTACAACCAAGATTCGACCGCTCGGGCCAGGCAGCCGAATAAATCGGCAATTAATATTCCGGGTCCGGAGTGCCAAACGGTATTATCAGCCATAATTCGCATTAAAGGACCTCAAACTGTAGCAACCTGCAAGCACCTCGAAATTTGCGGTCCCGCCAAAGAATGGGCGTCCAGATAGGGCTGAGTAGCCGACCAGCTGAAAAACCAACCATCCATAGTTGTAGTTGGCTGACCCTCGCTAGAGGCATATAGATCTCACGTCATCCCTCCGCTGTGGCGCAGAGAGTCTGATTCTCTCTTTTTTTTCTCGGTGCGAAACTGGTGGGTGATTGGTGTAAGGCGTATGCAGGTACCTCCGTCACTGCGTCAGGCACGGCTTGGTGTGGAAACGTGGCGTCTAGGAATGAAAAGGAGAGGGAACCAAGATAATGAGTTCTTGGAGAAGGGCAGAAAAGGGGGTTAGGAAATATGTGCAGTTTTTCAGACTGTGAGGCGTCAATGGTGGTGTCCTGGCAAAATATTGGAAGCGCGGGAGAGGTTCGAATGCCGGATCAGTGCAGGGCATTGCTCAGCACCTCCCTGATGGCCGTGGTTTCCTTTGATGCAGGCTCTGCAGGTGGAAAATCGGTGATAAGGCAGATGCATTCACGACACAGAGGACACTTCGAAAGGCAGGCAGAACCAAGGAAAAAACGCGGGTCCACGGGCATGAAGGAATCCGGGAGAAAATGAGCAAGATTTTCCCTGACGGCCATTTTGGGGTAAGAACGATGTTTGGACGAGTGTCCTCATCGTCGTTAACACCAACAAAGCAAGAGACATCGGGAATGTAGATCCGCCACGGCGTCTTCAGTGGTGTCTATTGCTGGATGAAGCCCTGGAAGCGTCACAAAAATGCGAAGGGGCAGTCTCACGATCACAGCAACAAGAAGAGAAATGACGATGATGATTATACATATCGATAGTAGATTGCTCTATCCAAGAACCTATCCTAAAGAGAAAAGTGTGTGAGGTGACTCATAGAAATCTTAAATGCTGTAGTATGAGAAAGAAAAACACCAAACAGCTAACCCCGGCATCTCGCGATGCTTGCAGCCCCGCCTGCCGCTTCTAAAGTTCTACCCCAAAACAAAGGTCTACCGCCGAAAAAGCACAGCACCGCCGTCGGGTACTGGCCCTAGACAATCAAGCACTCCCAACACCCTGATACTCCGTAGAATGATATGATCCAGAAAAGACAAAAAGCCACATGTGCAAGCCCCGAGCCCATAACGGACTCCTTAGTTGCTCTCGGCATCCTCCTCGACGCCGTTGTACCCACTCCTTCCAGCCTCAGGGACGCGCTTGTTGTAACCGCTGCGTCCACCGGTGGCCGAGACAGCTTCGTCATCCTCGCCATTGTATCCGCTCCTACCAGCCTCGGGAGCGCGCTTGTTGTAGCCACTCCGTCCACTAGTAAGGGAAACAGTCTCGTCCTCCCCGTTATAGCCGCTGCGGCCGTCGGTATCAGCGCGCTTGTTGTAGCCGCTGCGTCCACCGGTGACGGAAACAGTCTCATCGTCCTCGCCATTGTATCCGCTGCGTCCACCAGTCACCGAGACAGTCTCGTCATCGCCGTTATAGCCGCTTCGGCCATCGGTATCAGCGCGCTTGTTGTATCCGCTCCGGCCATCGGTATCAACCTGCTGGTCACGAGCCTTGTTGTAACCGCTGCGTCCACC